AGCCAAGTTACTAGACCCCAAGGAGTTACCAGACTCAAGTGCCTGCCTTACTCTCCCTGCACGGATACCCAAGGGCTCACCTTTTTGCAGCAATGGGTTCAGTTGGTAAGAAGAGAGTTGGGAGTTCCTGTCACCTCCCACGTAGAACGGATGGTGTGTCATCCATGGCATAAGTGTCCGAGCCTGCTTCATGAACCGATGTCGTTCCAGGGCTAGGCAAGAAGAGACACAGTTACAGCGTCTCTGCTCAGGGACACTACCTGCCCAGCGCTCTTGATACAAACTTTGCTTGGTATATGGCAGCATGTGGGTGTGAGCAATAGAGAATTACTGGAGATCACCCACATGAAGGGCTCTCTTTGGTTTGGGGCAAAGTTGAAACAGAGTCAGAGAGGATCCAGCGTAATGAGCATGACCCAGGAAAGAAGAGAAGGTCTAGAGCAGTTGCTAGAAATGGAAACAGAGGAATTCTGCTGGGGTGCAAAACCATCTAAGGCAGATGGGAAAGAGTTCCCTTGTGAGGTATGGTTCTGTTATGTACTGCACCTTTTAATGTAAAAGGTCCACCTGTTTTTTCACTAGGGGCAGGGTTGTGAAGCAGATCAAGATGGAGATTTGCACACAGTGAGAGAGGCACTTTACTTCCTTCTTCCTCTTAATCCCTCTTTAACTTCTCCATTCCCCATCATTGCTGACAACACTTCCAACCTCCTTTTTGCCCAGAATTACGGCTGGTTTGATGATGGGGAGTCACAGTAAACTCCTTGCTCTCTTTTGCTCCATCCACGCAGACTGTCCAAATCATTTCCGTTTCATCTTCTACAATGTATCTCTGTGACGGGGCAGAGCGGCTCCGCACTGGCGCAGCAGGGGTTAACCCTTCCTTCCTGGCAGAGTAAGCCCCGCCCTGGAAGTCCTGCTGGGCATGCTCCAACTGGAGGCTAGGTATAAAAGCCTGCAAAGCTGCTCAGTTGGGGCTGACCGCCGGAGGAGAAGGACACACACAGCCAGCTCCTGAGGAGGGACAGCCCACGCTCCAGGCTCTAGGAGCCAGCCTAGCCGGCCCGCACCCTGCATCCCAGATGGAGGACCCACTGGAGGGGAATGGATCGGAACCCATGTCTCCGGAGGAGACCACGACATTGAAGGTAGGAAGTGACCCAGGGGAACTTTAGGGACAAGCCGCGTAAGAGCTTGGCGTGCTGCGGCCGGATCCCCGCCGAGCCAACAGCAAGGGGAACCCTGCCATTAGGAGAGCCCTGGGTTGGGACCTGGTGGAGAGGGAGGGCCTGGGTCCCCCTACGCCTCTGGCCGTTGGGCCACACTACCCTGCTACTGAGGGCGAGATGACAGATGGGACACCACCAGGAGGGGGCGCTCTGCTGGACAGAGCTAATTTCCAGAGGCAACCAGTAGGAGGCGCCAGGTGGTGAGTCCCAACCCCGTCACAATCTCCAAAGCCATCCCTTCCTCTGTGCTCAGAGCGAAGGCACTCTGTCCTGCTCTGTCCAGCTCCTGTCTGGATTACGCCAACCTCTTTCTCTCTGGCTGATCCAACACCTGTACAGTATTGTACCCTTCCAATAGATGCACAGTATCGCTGCTAAAATTATCTTCCTTGCTCACCAGTTTGACCATGTCATCCCCAACTTTGAATTTCTCCCCTCCCAAATTTAAACTTCTTGTTCTCACGGTGAAAGTGCTACAAACTTGGCTCTGGTCTACTCCACTGATCTTTCCTCTCATTGTATTCCCCCTGCCACTCCAACTCCTGTGCACCACCAAAGATGCCAGCCTCAAAATTCTTTTCACCTTCTCCCACTTCATACTGCCTCCGATATGTGGAATGCTCCCCCCATATCTGTTTGCCAACCACCACACACTCCCCATGCAAGTCCCTCCTGAAGACTTGCCTCTTCTATGGACACCCATAAGAAGTAAGTCCACACACAACAAATTGTGTCTCTTCTGTCCTCGCCAGCGTAGGGTAGAGTAAGCTCTCTGGGGCAGGGAATTTCTTCATTTTGCCTTAATCTAACACTCACCTAGAGTGAAAACACCTGTTTGTTCTTTGTGTATTGCGGCAGCGAAGAAAAAAAAAGACCGACCCGATTGAGCTGCTGCGGACATGCCACCGAAGAGGAAGAGAGGGAGTGAAGGACCTGCCACCGAATTACCGCCGAAGACCCGGACGTGCTGCCCCAAGAATGGACGGAGTGCCGCCCCTTTTTATTGGCCGCCCCAGGCACCTGCTTCCTTCGCTGGTGCCTGGAACCGGCCCTGTATATGACTCTCTACATGCCCAAGCAGTACCTTCCATGTCTACACTGGGACTTTTAGTAGGAGCCTTTTCTCACCAAAGGGAAAGGCTGTGGCAGTGAGGAGTCAGCAGGGAAAAGCTCTGGCAGCTCCCCTCTGCCATAGCTTTTCACTGACAGTGTGGCTGCAACCTGTTTACACTGTGGCATGTAGCTACAGGTACCCTACACGCCACTGCCATTGGTGTGCATTTTAGACATACCCTAAGAGATTCAAAAATCCAGGTCCTTAACCTTTACCTGGACATCAACGGCAGCTTTTCTTGCTTCAGATGGTGTGGGCTGCCCTCTAGTGGCCTAAGCGAACAAAGATACTGTATGTATGGGGATGTCTGTCTAAAGAGCTGTGTTCTTCTGCCTGTACTGGGACAGTCCCAGTTTTTCCATATAACGTCCTGTTATCCCAGGAACTTATTTTGAGATGCCTCTAGCATCCCATTCTTTGTTTGCTTTGGAAGGAGACAAGTAGCTTTCTGGATGCTCAATAATAAAATAAATAATAATAATAAAGACCAAAAGGAATTGGGTCAAGGAGCAATAGAGCAGAGCAACAGCTGTAAGAACCTCTCAAAAGAGGCAGAAAAGGAAAAACTGCTTGGAGGGTTTCTACACGCATAAATCCCAGCATGCAGTTGAGGGAAAAGTGCGGAAGAATGGAGAGGACTGGAGAAGAGCACAAATTACAATCAAGGAATCAGAGAAAGAAGAAGCAGCAAACAAAAAAAGTTGACCCCTGCCCCTGGCCACCCTCTGCAGCCCAACTTGGACCAAACCTACATGGCGCTGCAACCCCCTGTGCCAGGTTGCAATGCCTGGAGCAGGAATCCAGACCCTGCCCTGTGGGACAGGAGCCATGCTTCAGGTGGTGGGTTTGACCTCCCACACTACAACATGAGGGCTTGCTCTCCAAACACACGACCCCTCCCACCCCAGGGCCTCCCCTTCACATTCAAGCAGAAGTGTCTGTTTGTCTAAGGCCCAGAGATGGGATAATCTGGTCTTAGTTGTAAACTGTAGCAGTTTAGAGCTAGCCATAGTGACACAAAAATTCAGCTTTTATAAAGCTACTTTTTGGAGCAGAACCACACTTTAAGTATTGTAGCTCTGTCAATGAACCTAAGGACAGGGTCTCTACCATGACTTCTGGGACAAGGCAGTCCCTGCCTACCTCAGCTGCTGCGGTAGAAGAACTGCAGTGGGATAGGGAAGAAATGACACTGAGCTAGCCATGTGAGGAAAATGGTGGAAGGGGGGAGGAGAGAGATACGAGGTCGGGGTTGCTTCCTTTGGACCTGGGACAAAGAGGGAGGGAGGGGATGGGGACCATGTTTTCTAGACTCCAATCTCTCATTTTATAAATGTTGTTCTGAGGGTAACATTAGCCAGAGAAATGTCACAGGCTAGCTTGCTACTAAAAAGCCCTGCTTTCCCCATACATTGAGTGATACGAGACATGTTCCGTATCTGTGGATGCCATAGTACGTTGGATATACATGCCCATTTTTGCCTCACCTTCCTCATTGCAGCAGCAGCGGGTTGGGCAGCAGGCACAGCGGACATGGCAGCAGCAGTGTTGGGGGCAGCACTGGCACCAGCACACCCCGATCAGTATGAGGAGGAGGAGAGCACCAAGAACGATGAAGATCACCGTGAGCCAATCTAAGGGGGGGGAGGAGGAGGAGAGGAATTAAGAGACCCCGATTGTATGTTGCTGCAGGTAGATACTGAGCACCTCTCAGAGACTTTGAGGTGAGAGAGAAAAGAGAATGGCAGGAGAGATTTACAGGTGGATGGAAAAACAGAGTGCTGGCACTTACGCAGAACAACGAGCTTAACCTCTTTGTCTGGGTCGCCTGCAGTGTCTCCTGGAGACTCAACAGCACAGTAGTAGACTCCATGGTCCCACCACATCACCTCATTGATCACAAGGTCTGCCCCTAGGGAAGAAAAACACACAGTGACCAGAGGGCACTTTGGGACTGGCACTGCTCTCAGACCCTAGTGTAACAAATTCCTGTGCTACTGATCACAGACAGGTGCTGCACCACCACCCCTTCCTCTCTTAGGAAGCTAGACCCCTGGTTCTTCATCAGCAAAATATACAGGACTGCCACTTGAGCTAACCAAGAGCTCCCTCTGTCAGTTGCAGCAGCAGGTCCCTTATCCCTTTTGTGGACTCGGCCACTGGAAGGTAGACTTACTTACAAATAGTACACTACATCACCCTGTCCTCTGCAAAAAAACGATGAAACCTTTACACTGTACACACCCCTCTAGCTTTCATTTCTTTCTCTCCTCCTAATAAGGAGTCAGCCTATTATTTTTCCAGAGGAAAAATCAGTCAGCCACATCAAAGCATGTTATTGCACAATAAGAAAAATATCCCTAGGATTTATCATATCAGATTGAATCCAATATCACACCTCCTGTCCACATCAGGTCAGATCACTGATGCATTAAGTCTGGTATCCCACCCCCTGATCACACCACATCATTCCATCAAGTCTAGTAACCCAAGTCTGGCTGTAGCTACTACCTTGCTTCCGAGGAAAGTGAACTCCATATAATGCACCTGGTCACTTGCCACATATGATGCAGAATTCCTTCCTAACCCCTGTGGTGCTCAGCTTGTGTGAGAGCATGAAATTCAAGTGCCCTTATCTCAGCTTTAGCTTGTGGAACTGGAAACATCCTCCAGTGGTGACATTCAACAGGAATCTGGCTGCAGGCCTTGCTCATAGTGTCTGTAAGTCACAGATAGTGTTGACCAGATTCATGTTTTGTGAAGCGAGGGCAGGCAGAATGTTGGGTCGTTATTGGATTCATGCCCTTTTTCCTCCCCAGTGGTCACTTACGGTTCTGGATGGTGATCTTGCGCTGTCTGTACTCTATGCCTAGCACAGGCTCGTTCTGTCCACGTCTCTGAATGACGATGCGCACCACCCGCTGGTTGTCATTACAGTCATTGGATGGGTCCTGGCCAAGAGCTAACCCAGCCTGGTAGGCTACAAATAAGCCATTAAACACAACTTAGATGACAGCAAGGATTTGAGTCAAGCCCTGATCTGAAACCCCAAATACTATCACCTCAGAAAGGGTAGGGAGTCCCTTACTGACAAATTGTGTGGTTAATCCCTTGTATCTGGGTGTGAGTGAATATGTGATTATACAAAGTAAAGTGTGTTGAGTCTTTAAGAAAAAGCATACTGCAAAACAGGGAGGACAAAATCGTTTACGGCATTAGAAAGTGAATGAGGCGGAGAGACTTTGAGAATGCAGAAGCTGCAGAGGAGAAGGCTCTTGCTGCCACAGTAATGAAGATGGCAGAGAGGAGCAGAAAGGAGGCCAGTTCTCAGTGTGTAGAGGGAACCACGAGGTGACCAGAGATATGCAGCCCATGGGACAAGTGGAACCTAAATCTCAACCGTTTAAAAAATAAATTAGCTTCTTAAATAGAGTTTTGAGGTGAATAGGGTTGTACGGATTGGCTCCCTTTTCCCCAACTTTTCCATGATGCTTGTCTTGTGAATGGGGAAAAGGACTGTGTCTTTCTGTGTAGTGTGGTTCTGTGTATGTGGACAGAGTCTAGCACGTTGTAGGCACTAATAGAATATAGAATCCAGAGATGGACAGTGGATCCAGTGGAATTATTAGAGGATGAGGGGGAATGTGATTTATTCCCGAGAGCAAGCTAGCAGCATAATCCTCAATTTCCAGGTGTCTGGTGAGCTGAAACTTGGGGAGGCATATGGAAGGGAGGTAAATCAGACATACATACAATCACCAACCTTAATCCTCTTTAAGCCCTAACAGGTATTCCCTTGTAATCACATCGAGGGGAGGAGGAGAAGGAGGAGAGTGGATATTAAAGGTTTGCTGTTCTGCATGTCCGTAAAGTCAGTCCAAAGGACCACACACAAGATACTTAATCAAGAGAGGCCATCACAGGCACTAGTATGCTATGGGTCATGCCCCCCAAAAGTAGGCATTTGCTCCATTTCCTCCAATCCCCTTAAATTATAATACCTGGTCACTGCCGGCTAGCTGTGACCATGCGGACCTTCATTCCTGACCCCATGGAGGCAGGAGATGTCAGCTATAAAGTCTGTTTGCTGCCCATTGTCACTGCCCGCAGGGCCTTCACTTCTGACCACACAAAGGCAGAGCTCTGGGTTCCATGCACACCAGTGATGATGTGATGAGGAGGAGGAGGATGGGCTGCTATTGGCTAGAACTTCTATAGGAGGTGGAATATTAAATCTTTCACTCCCCTCAGGGACAATCCCTGCCACAAGTTTCCCCAGCTCAGAGCCTGCAGGAAATGCCACCATACTGTTTGGTTTGCGGGCAACAGAGGGTCAAAGGCTTGCCCTCCCCGTAATGAGTCTCCCTCCTTCCTCCCCATTGTAGAAGCTTCCCAGGGAGGGGGAGTAGAGCACTCACAGGCAGAGTAGTAGTCAAAGATGGGGTCCTTGCAGAAGGATTTGAAGCGCCATGTCACCACTACATCCTGCAGTTGTGCTGAAGTGCTGTAGTCACACTTGAGGATCACAGAAGCAAATAAGGTGGTGTATCGCTCAATATCCTGCACTATCACAAGCAGGGAGAGGCAGCCTGCAGGAGAGAACACAAGAGGCACCAGCTAGTGGGAATGGATGTTGCATAAGAGCTGCCATTCGGCAGTAGCAGCACCGCCACCTTGCCCTGCTATAGCAACTTTCACTCCTAGCCGTTCACAAGTGCTACACTAAGGGAAGGCTCAAAACCCTTCAAGTGAAGTATTTTACAGATAAGGAAACTTGCCCAGGGTCACACAGAGAGTCAGTAGCAAAGCCAGGATAAGAACTCAGAGGTTCTAATTCCCAGTCCTCATCTCTGGCCCATAGCATACACATTAGTCCATCTAGTCTGGTTTCCTGTCAGACAATGGCCAGGACCGATTGCTACAAAGAATGCAGTATGCATCCTAGAAAAGTATTTTTATGCATCATTATCCCATGGGAAGAAAATGTCATCCTGAGCCCCCATGGTAACCACAGAATCATAGAAATATAGGAGTAGAAGGGACCTCAAGAGGCATCTAGTCCTGTCTCCATACTGTGTCCTGAAGCACAAGTAGGAACTCTTAGGCCTGATCTACACTATAGTTAAGCTGCCCTGCATCAACCTACGTCGACCTAACTATGTAAATGTCTACACTGAAATCTGGCTCCCGCCAACGTAACTGCCCCACTAAGCCAACTTAATTCCATGTCCCCGAGACGCATAGAGTCAAGGTCAATGTAGTTAGGTCAATGCAATGTCAGTGTAGAGTCTGCATTTTACTGGCTTTCAGGAGCTGTCCCACAATGCCCCATGCCGACAGTACAATCAATGCAAGTGCTCCTGGTGAGGACATGCACCACCGACACAAGGAACAAAGTGTAGCTATGCACAAGCGATGTAATTACTGTGGTTGCTATATGCAGACGTAAATTAGCCTGGCCTTAGACTTGTTTGCCTAATGAGCATACCATCTGTGGTTCTACACATTCATATAAACATCAATTTTTTTAATCATTCTAAGCTATTTGCCACAATAATATCTGGCACTAAATGTGATATAAAAGGATGATACTGCCATACTTCACTGCAACAGGAAAGTTAATAAAGGCAGCCCACTTATCAGTTCAGAACAATTCACAGCACTTCTTTTTAATAGGGTATAATTTTGACTTTCCTCACCTCATTCATTTCATCCATATAGTTAATCCTTACTAGTCTGTGGCATTTTACATCCCAAACAACTACATCTACTGAGTAAATTTTTAAAGGTTTCAATAAACAGTACATTAGCTCAGTCACACCCCAGCATTCCCTTATCAAGGGTAAATAAGATAACACAAAAGGGTGTGCTTTTCATTAATAACCACAAAGATATCACCAGCACCTTTAGATAACCCAATACAAACACTGCTGAAGGGGAGAGTAGCCCACACAGGATAGGATATGGCAAGGGTGGGATGAAATGGGTTTAGGGAGAGTTTTTCAAAGGCAAAGGTACCCAACTGCCCTAACTCCAGCAGAAAATCATTGTGAGCTAGCCATCTAACTTCCATTGCATCTTTGAAGAGCTCCTCCATAATCCCATACTGCCGATGTTCTGACTGTAAACCCATCTCCCAGTCTTTTTGGCAGTGAAGACATTGCTACACCTGGCAAAATCTTGAGCTGATTAGACCCTTAGAGGCTCAGGGGCATATCTCCTTTAAAGTTCAAATCAAAGCAACACAGCATCCCATTCCCATAAACTATTTCTAACAGTGTCTCTCAGGCAGGAATAAAATAGTATCTAGAATTCATATAAGTGCATTTTATCTGTGGACCTCGAAGCTCTTTACAAAGATGGGTCAATGTCATTACCTCCACTTTACAGAGGGGGATACTGAAGCACAAAGGTAAGTAGCCTGGTTTTCAAAGATGCAAGAAGTTCCCATGGAAATAAATAGGACTTGCAAGTGCTCTGCACTTCTGAAACATTGAGTTAACAGACTCACCAAAGGTTACACAGTTAGTTGCAGAGCTAGATAAAGAATCCCTTGACTTTATAGGCCAGTGAATAGGGTATTGGAGTTGCTTTCTCTCCCTGCCTGGAAGAGAGCATCAGACTGAACACTTGCTAGATTTTTACATACTGAAGCCTCAGATCTCATATTCATTGGTGAAATGGCACTGCCCTTGATGACTGGTGAAATCAAATGAAGAACACTTGGTCTTACTTCTGACCAAGTTAATCAGCGTTTGCCTCCAAGAGGGAAAACTGTCACCCTAAAACATGTGATAGTTTAGGTTGGGGTCGGCAACCTTTCAGAAGTGGTGTGCGGAGTCTTCATTTAATTACTCTAATTTAAGGTTTCACGTGCCAGTAATACTTTTTAACGTTTTTAGAAGGTCTCTTTCTATAAATCCACAATATATAACTAAACTATTGTTGTATGTAAAGTAACTAAGGTTTTTAAAATGTTTAAGAAGCTTTGTTTAAAATTAAATTAAAATGCAGAGCCCCCTGGACCGGTGGCCAGGACCCGGGCAGTGTGAGTGCCACTGAAAATCAGCTCGTGGGCCACCTTTCGCACGCATGCCATAGATTGCCTACCCCTGGTTTAGGTCATTCTCAAGAAGCCATTACTGGGCACAAATGAACTTGCAGACTAACTCCCTGTCTATAACTTTTCATCCTAGCTAAAGTTACTGGGAAGTTAATGCCACACCACTTCCAGCAGCATCTGACCTCTAGGACTGATACAGAATTTTCATAGGCTTCGGAGGTGGATATGGCAGGGAGACAGCAATGATTGCACTGGTTGATCCATCTCCTTACAGCCATATACCCAGGCCAAATGTCCATGCTGATATTGATAGAAGTACTGGCTGATTTCAACAGAGAGTTAGCCACAGGATACTACTAGTTCACCCACAAGAACTACTAGGGGTTGATGGGCTAGTCTACACTATAATTGCTACAGCAGTACCGATGTAGCTGCGCCATTGTAGCACTGCTAGCGTAGATGCTCTATGCCAATGGGAGACAGTTCTCCCATCAGCATAATTACTCCACCTCCCTGAGTGGTACCTATGTTGGCAAGAAAGGTTCTCCTACCGACATAGCGCTGTCCACTCTGGCGCTTAAGTCAGCTTAACTTATGTTGCTCGGTGTGTGTGTGTGGCTTTTCCACACCCCTGAGCAACTTAAGTTATATCAAAGTACACCTTTACCCCAATATAACGCTGTTCTCGGGAGCCAAAAAATCTTACCGCATTATAGGTGAAACCGCGTTATATCGAACTTGCTTTGATCCACTGGAGTGTGCAGCCCTGCCCCCTCCCCCCGAGCACTGCTTTACCATGTTGTATCCAAATTCATGTTATATCGGGTCATGTTATATCGGGGTAGAGGTGTAAGTGCTAGTGTGTACAAGCCCTAAGAAGGCTTCATTCATTCCTTTCAGATAGGTTGGAGATGGTCACAATGAACACCCTTTCTTCCCAAAGGTCTGATCTCATCTCTTCTTCTGTTGTCTTTTGGTAACCACTCTGACTTTTTGCCTATCACTTAAAATCTATCTTTATAGTTAATAAATCTGTTTGGTTTGAAGCATGTCAGAGACTCCCCTTGGGATAACAAGCCTGGTACATATCAATTTCTTTGTTAAATTGACAAACTCATATAAGCTTGCAGCATCCAGCGGGCATAACTGGACACTGCAAGACGAAGATTCCTAGGGTTGTGTCTGGGGCCAGAGACACTGGCTAGTGTCATTCGGTTGCACAATCCAAGGAGCAGATCACTGGTCCAGATAATACCAGGGGAACATCACAATCATATAGCAGTGTCTCTCTCAGACAAGACAATCAATGAGTGCACACAACTCCGTATTTTGCTCTGTACACTGGCTCCCTCTGAATACAGGTTCTTTGTTAAGATCATGAGGCCATCTTTGAATCACCCAGTGACTGTCCAGCAACCCACCAAGAATGCTACAGTCAATACGTCCAGCCAGCAGGAAACGGGTCAAGGCTGGGAGCAGTGATTTCTCAAGAGAGGAGCCCTGTCTGTTGAAGCCTCTTTTTCCTGGATGTCTGGCCATCTTTACAGCACTGTCACCCTTTGTGAAACCACAAGGGAGGCTGCAAAACAGCCCAACCCCATTCGCCCCTTCTCCCGGGGAACTCACCCCCCTCCCACCACAAGGGATTTTAGGGACAAGGCTGCTGCCTGCTTGCAGGGGGCACGTAGATGGCAAAGCACCCAGGCTAGCCACTGAGCCCCAGCATCTTCCGCTCCCCCCTCACCCCCCATGTGGTTGCCCAGCTCAGCTGGGGAAGAGCCCAGCTTTCCCTTCTCCAGGGCTGCATGAACCCCAGCCCGGAGGGGAGCAGGGCCCCCAGGGAGGAGACCCCTCCCCCAGAACTGCTCCAGGAAAGAGGGGAGCAAGAGTCCAAGTACTTTGGGGATGGGGGGAAATCAGAGACCCCGCGGACGGGGAGGGCTCCACTAACGAGCCGCCGCCGCCCCCCTCCCGGGGCCCTTCTTGGACATGGCGCAGCCCCTTTCTAAGGGGCCCAGAGGACTCGGGGCGGGTCCCTGTGCGGCCGCGCCTCCCGCTGAGCCAGACCCGGCTGCAGCCCGCTCCCCCCCACTCACCTATGGGGAGCCAGGTGAGGACCAGCCCCTGCAGCCACCGCCAGCTCCGGGCCATGGCGCCGCCGCCCTCTGCCTGGAGCCTTCCCCCGAGGGTCACCGCGACAGCCCCGGCCACCCCAGCGCTCCGCCTCGCTCCCCCACACCCACCTGTGCCTCCTTCCTCCTCCGCCCCACTGCCCTCTGCGGTTCCCTCCCCTGGGGAACTGACCGCCCTTCCCCCACTGCCTTCCTCCTCCACCTGCTGTTCCTGTTCCTTTCCCTTCCTCTAACCGCTGCCATACACTAGCCCTACAGGTGCCGATCCCTCCCCGCTCCCTGGTCAAACCCCTCCTCTTCTCCCTCTCTCATTGCCACCTGCCTTCCCTCACAAACAAACCAGAGTCACTCCCCCTGCCTGACAGCCAGGGGAGACTCCTCCCTCAGCCCCCCACACCGTTCCCTTAAAAAGTCCAGCAGGCAAATGCTGCGCATCCAGTCTCATCGCAGGGCTGAGTTACAATACAGAGGGGCACCAGAGCTTCTGGAAATAAACCCCCGTCTCTTAGTATGTGCTCCTGTGTCGCACCCTTTTGACACTGACAATCCAGCCTCTGTTAAAGTTAGTACAATCATCTCAAATCCCAGCACAAAAAACACAGCTGGTCACAATAGTGCTTGGGATTTTTTTTTAAATGTGCTAATCTTTTAACTAGGGGCTCCCTCCAAATTTCCCCCTTCTAAGGTGACGAACCCCATTTCCCCTGGGGTTCATTTACTTAAAAACAGGTGAGCTGAGGGACTCTTGAACCATGAATTTGTTTTCCCATGTTTTCTCAAAACTACGAACAAGGCGGGAGGCAACATCACACAGCAGACAAATGTAGGCACTTTTGGGGGGGGGGGGCTGAACATCTATCTTAGCTATCTGTGTACTTGCGTGTTCTCTACCACCACAGTATCTGAGTGCATCATAAATATTATTGTGTTCCCTCACAACAACTCTATGATGTAAGGAAATATTACTATTCCCATTCCACAGGAACTGAGGCATAGAGAAATGTCCTCTGTAGAGGACTTGTTTGCAAAATGTCAGTAGTAGGGTGGCAGCTGGCAAAGTAGTACTGCATCTATTAGATCTAAAGCTATTGTTTCTCCTTCCCTGTGAAACTTCCTCCTCTCTCCCTAACTATGCCTGACAGCCAAACCTTAGAGTTGTTCCTCCCCTGCCTGGCTCATCTTCCGCTATAGCTGCCTTCTCCAATTCCAACTCAACAACAAACAAATCCTAGAGCTAGTGCAGTTCCCTCCCCATAAAAAGTAAGGTCCCTGTGCTTGCATTCCTTCCTTCTGGAGTCAAATCACTTCTCTTTTCCTCCATGCATTAGAGAAAGCAAACAAACAGGAAAAAATACCTCCATATGCAGAGTCCTTTTGCTACAACTTCAGCAACTTTTTTCTGTAATTGCAAACTACTGGCATATACTGCCCTACATTCCTGCTCTCACAAACACAATACACTGTGTGTTGAACAAGAAGAAGAAAAGCTCTGTGGAAGATCAAAAGCTTGTCTTTTTTCACCAATAGAAGTTGGTCCAATAAAAATTATTACCTCACCTAACTTGTCTCTTGCACAAAAAGAAAGTCATTACCCTCCCTGCATAGGAACCAAATTAATTGACTTCAAAGGGTACCTTCACAAGCATAGCAGCCTGCCTGCAAGATCAGGACTTAGCTGAACACCTGTGGATTTAATGAAAGAATTTAAAGTGCATATTCAGTGTGCAGTTTTCAAATGCTCATATACCATTGGTAAATCTAAGCCAAGTAAATACTCTCTAGTCAGGAATATACCCAGTTCAATTCAAAGCTCAACCATTTTTGGCATAGTCCTGTTCAAAACAGCGTGGTTATAATTTGTTTATAGTGAGAAAAAATGTTTGTCCTCAGTAGTTAGCTAAATTAGGAGTGTTGTGGGTTGTTCCAGTTAGGAAGAGAAATTGATGATACCGAGGTTTTTTTAATGCAATCTTGTTTATCCACAGACATTATACATAAAGTCCTGTTTCCCTGAACACAGTAAAAAAAGTCATACAGTGGGAGATAATTTTACTCATAGGTCCAAACCTTTCAACCAGTACTCCTACCCAAAACCTCACTCACTCCATGCAGTGTCTGGACCTTTTTGCTCCTTCCGTTTGTGTGGTGCCTCCCCTGGTGTTGCCTGTTGCTAACAAACAAACAAACCCCAATACTAAAAAAAGCCCTGCACTCACACACTTCTAATTCCTGGGCAGACTCACATCACTTGTGTTTTAGAGGTCTCTTACTGCTACCTTAAATGAGGGGTGGTGGCCACACCCAACAGTTTAAGAGAGGTTTAACCCAACCCACAATAATATTTTTTTCCAGGAATCCATAATATAAAAGTGACTGGAGAGATTTTGCTCAAACCTTCCACAATAATTCACTAGTGGAGACCAGGCATGGAAAATTTCAGTCCCAAAGATGAATGTTCTGGAAAGTTATGACCATATGAAAACAGCAAGATATTATAGAAAACTATTTTATAATCTTAGCTATTATGGTAACCTGACTGGACCACTAGAATGATTTTTGAGCCTGGAATGGATATTGCACATTCCAGTGCCAGATTTGTTCAGGGCTGATTCAGGTACTGCTGCCAAACCTGCAGTTTCAGGAGCTGCACATCATGGGAACTTCTAGGAATATAATGCTGCTCATGCCCCAGAGTAGGGGGTAGATAATACAAAATGCTTCATGCTGACATTGCTCTGTGATAACTTGAGAGCATATAAAGAGTTGGAATATCTTCCCTTTTAACTTTAAAGCAGAGATGGGTGTAACATTATCCAGGGTACAATCTGGACTGACGACCAGCTGTATGCCCTCAGTTCTCCAACCTGGGGTGCCTTTTACACTGCTTTGCTGTGAGGGCTACCACTTCTGGTCTGCTCAGACACAACCTCCAGCATGTAAGTCACTCCCAGTTATAATATATGAATGCTATTGCTAGCTGTTCTTAAATTACACCATAGAGGAACATCAGCAAATTCCCAGTCCCAGACTTTCCCCAGGAATGTATATCTTGTACTGCCCAGCTCTCTCCTGGACAATACAAGCTCATATAAAGGCTATCATTTTATCAATAGAAAATGATATGCATAAATCCTGTTATCCCAAATGGAGTTTCTCAAACACTTCAATCCAAACATTAGTTTAGATAAAACAAAACAAATTTATTAATTACAGAAAGATAGAATTTAAATGATTAAAAATAATGAGGCATAAAAGTCAGAATTGGTTACAAGAAAATAAAAGTAAAATGCAACTAATGCCTAACTTAACAAGCTATATGAATTCAAATCTCTCTTACCACATTTCAGCAGTTTTACTGGCTGAATTTCTTTCAGTCAGGTTACCTCCCCCAATCCAATGCTGTTTCCTTATTCTTCAGGTGTTGCTGATACTGTGAGTAGAGAGAAAAGGAGAGATAATTTGGAGCATCTGCTTTCTCTTCTTATAGTTTTTTCCCTTCTTTGAGAATCATCTCCAGCTGAGGTTCAGGAAGCAGAAAGTCTGTGTGGATGGGAACACCAAGCTGTTTCTTTGTCAAGATGTAGAATTTTTGCTCACACCCTCTTTCCTGCTATAAGCTGTGCAATGTAGACATAGCCTTAGTAATATCATACAGTAGAATCTTATAACTTTAGATATGTTGCCACATATTTTACTAGGACAATAATGATCAGCAAATTATGAATTTTCAAATGATGTCTCTCACAAGGCATACTTTGTACAAAATGTATCATAGTCTTGTAAAAAGGGTAAACATAGGCGTGCACACTGTCTAAACCCACATCTAAATCTACATTTTGCAGTTTGAGCTCAACTCCAGTTTAAATGGACTAGTTAAGATTATACCCCTATCTCCTAGTGGGGCTGTAGGGCAGTAATTTTTTCATTACTACCTAGGATCATAGAAGCTAAAGACAGGGAAGAGGTGTTATCGCCCCACAACCACTCCACTTTGTTTACCAATCAGGGCCGGCTCCAGGCACCAGCAAACCAAGCACGTGCTTGGGGTGACACATTTTCAGGGGCGGCATATTTTCAGGGCTGGCATTCCAGCCAGCCTTTTTTTTT